GACAAAAAAAATGAGAAAGCCTGAGCAAATGATGAAGGTCTGTGTAGGTTTGTTGTGATATACTCATCCTTGTTGAAGGATGAGTCAAAAATAATATACACATAATCTTAAAATGTCTATGGTCAGGCTGGGCATGGTGGCACACGCCTTTAATCCCAGCACTCAGGAGGCAGAGGCAGGCGAATCTCTGTGAGTTCAAGGCCAGCCTAGTCTCCATAGCAAATCCAGGCCACCTAGGGCTACAGGGAGACCCTGTCTCAAAAAGACCAAAAAAATAAAAAGGTTTATCTGAGAATATTTGGTTTTTTACCCAAGCCCTATCTACATAGCACATGATAATTAAAAGTACCAGATTGGTGGAACTAACCTTATTGGAAGTTTAACAGCCGTTTTGAGACCTATACTAATGTTCTCAGAAGAGCTTAAAGGACAGTTTTTGCCCCTTGCCCTCCAAGGTCGACTAAGTTTCAGGGGACTATGGAACATCTCTCAAAAGGTCCAGTAACTGTGGTGAGTCACCTGCTCATGGAGGAAGTGGAGACCCCACAAGATGGACCTGAACCAGTGTCCAGTCTACAAAGAGGAGGGTCAACTCAGAGGAAACATCTTATTCATGCTTCTAAGTGAAGCCATACATGGTCGAGCAGGACCTTTGACTTATCTTCACATAGTTGGAACTGGTAAAAGAGAAGAGTCAGGAGCTCTTTCCAAGCCCATGTGACCCCTGAGAAACAGATCCTCAAATGACCTTAAGTGTAAAAATTAATTGATTTATTTGGGCCAACTGTATGGTCTTCAACACCCAAAAGGAAAGTATAACCAAAGAGTAAAATCATCAGTATACTTCTTTAAGAGTTCAAGGGATTACACTTCCCAGACATTAGGCTTAAGTCTATATTAAAAGTTATTTAGACAATTATTTCTCATTGATGATTCTGTTCCTAACCAGAAAGTGCTGCTCAGATGTAAGACTTCAAATCTTGGTCTTCAATACTGTAGTGCCCACCTGTAGCTAAGGGAGAGAACTAGCTATTGTTCTAAAAGATGGATAAATTCATTTTCTCCATCTAGGCTCAAGGACATTTTGACTTTTAGACAAGAAACTGGCTACTTTTCCTTGGGTTTTTTTTTACCCTAACTGTTAATTAGACCATTATTTCTCACTGATGATTTTGTTTCTAATCACAAAGTGCTGCTCAGATGTAAGACTTCAAATCTTGGTCTGCAATACTGTAGTGCCCACATGTAGCTAAGGGAGACAACCAGCTATTGTTCTAAAATGATGGATAAATTTGTTTTCTCCCCCATCTACAAGCCTTTGAGAGGGAATCGACACTGATTCTCACCACTCCAAAAGCTATCAAAATACCTGAAAGCAAATCCTGAATCCTTCACTCTAGAGTCCAGCCTTGGAAGACAAAAGAAAAATGAGGAGGAACCCAATAGAGGGATATATTTGAAAATTGCCCTGTTCTAACTTTTCTAGTTCCCTGTCTAGAACTTGTAATGCTGATTTCCCTTGCCTTTACTTCTCCTTCACATCTCCTATTCACCAGTCAGGGACTTTCTCCCCCCCCCCCCCCCGTAGAGATAAGAGTTATGCAATTTGGGAGTTTTTAGATAGACCCACTGAAGGGCTATTCCAATTGCCTCACCCTGTGTCCCTGTTCAGCATGGAAGAAGCCAGAGCAGTCTGTGCCGGATTCCCTATTGGCAATTTGGAAAACCTCTTCAGAGGATGGTGTGGTAAGAATAGGAGGTAGGAATTGGCTAGACAGTTAGGATAAAAAGATCCCAAAGAGTCAGAATCCTTCTGCCATCGAGCTTGCATCTCGCCGCTCCAGCCTCCGGGGTCACGTTCCATTCTTCCATGCGACCAGCCCAGAAAAAAAAAATCCTTATTAATATCTTTTCTTGCTCGGTAAATACCTTGAAGCAAGCAAAAATTTGTTGCAGTCAACAGTAACGATGAGGGAAATCGTGCGCATCCAGACCGGTCAGTGTGGCAACCAGATTGGTGCAAGTTCTGGAAGGTGATCAGAGATGAGCACGGCATCGACCCCACCGGTACCTACGACAGGGACAGCGACCTGCAGCTGGATCGCATCTCCGTGTACTACAACGAAGCCACAGACGGCAAGTATGTTCCTCGAGCTATCCTGGTGGATCTAGAACCTGGGACCATGGACTCTGTTCGCTCAGGTCCTTTTGGCCAGATCTTCAGACCAGACAATTTTGTTTTTGGTCAGTCCGGGGCAGGTAACAACTGGGCCAAAGGCCACTACATGGAGGGGGCGGAGCTGGTCGACTCTGTCCTGGATGTGGTACGGAAGGAGGCCAAGAGCTGTGACTGCCTGCAGGGCTTCCAGCTGACCCACTCGCTGGCTGGAGGCACTGGGTCTGGAATGGGCACCCTGCTCATCTGCAAGATCCGAGACGAGTACCCTGACCGCATCATGAACACCTTCAGCCTGGTGCCCTCACCCAAAGTGTCCAACACCATGATGGAGCCCTATAATGCCACCCTCTCCGTCCATCAGCTGGTAGAGAACACTGATGAGACCTACTGCATTGACAACGAGGCCCTCTACAACATCTGCCTCCGCACCCTGAAGCTCACCACGCCCACCTACGGGGACCTGAACCACCTGGTCTCAGTCACTATGAGCGGCATCACCACCTGCCTGTGCTTCCCTGGCCAGCTCAATGCTGACCTCCGCAAGCTGGCAGTTAACATGGTGCCCTTCCCACGGCTCCACTTCTTCATGCCTGGCTTTGCCCCTCTCACCAGCCGTGGAAGCCAGCAGTATCCGGCCCTCACCGTGCCTGAACTCACCCAGCAGGTCTTCGATGCCAAAAACATGATGGCTGCCTGTGACCCCTTTCCCCCCACGCCATGGCCGGTACCTCACCGTGGCCGCTGTCTTCCGTGGGCGCATATCCATGAAGGAGGTGGACGAGCAGATGCTGAACGTGCAAAATAAGAACAGGAGCTACTTCGTGGAATGGATCCCCAACAACGTCAAGACCGCAGTCTGTGACATCCCTCCACGTGGCCTCAAGATGGCTGTCACCTTCATCGGCAACAGCACTGCCATCCTGGAGCTCTTCAAGCGCATCTCTGAGCAGTTTATAACTATGTTCCGCCAAAAGGCTTTCCTCCACTGGTACACAGGTGAGGGTATGGACGAGATGGAGTTCTGAAGCCGAGAGCAACATGAACGACCTCGTCTCCGAGTACCAGCAGTACCAGGATGCCACTGAAGAAGAGGAAGAGGATTTCGGTGAGGAGGCAGAAGAGGAGGCCTAAAGGCAGAGCCCTGCGGCACATCAGGCTCCCCAGTTCCCTCAGCTTTCTTCACCTGCCCCTTTCCTCCTTCAGAATTTATTTCTACTGCCTCTGTCCTGGTTTTTTTGTTTGTTTGTTTGTTTTTTATTTTGGGGGGTGAATAGTGCCTGGCACATAGTAGGCATTCAATAAATATTTGTTTGTGGAACGTCTCCTTTCTCTTTCCACTCTGACAGATCTAGCTTTCTGCCCTTCTAGGTTACCTTTTATTTCCTTCTGGTACCCACTTCTCATAACTTTCCAGTTTAATATTCTTCCAGAAAAATTTTCCAGGAAACTTGAGTCTCTTCCAGATCCTATTTAGACCAGCCCAGTGCCAAAAACCAACAGTGGCCACCATCCCAAGCCTAAGTAGTAGATGACAGAATGGGGGTTGGGGGTGGCAGATCCCAGTCACTGGGGGGAAGAGGGTGGGTTTTCAGTCTGTTTTTCACCTATTCCATCTCAGCCTCAGGAGGGGACTGACTATACAGTATTATCTCCACCTACAGTCCCCCAGCTGTCCTCAGCTGCATCTGTCTTTGGAGGTAACTGTCTGTTGCTTTGGGTCACTCCCCCACCCCATTTTTCCTACACTTCAGATTTCTATTTTGTGTTGAACTTGCTTTTTTTCATATTGAAAAGATGACATTGCCCCAAGAGCCAAAAATAAATGGGAATTGGAAAAAAAAAGATCCCAAAGAAAAGTAGCCAGTTTCTTGGCTAAAACTCACAATGTCTTGGGTCTCTTAGCAACATACTCCATTGCAAGGGTGAAAAATGTCAGAAATATTTGGGAGCTTTTATCTAATCCTTAAAAGATTTTAGGGTTACCTCTTCCGGGGGGGGGAGTGTTAGAGTAGTCAAAAGCCCCATAAAAAAATAAGTAAATCAAAGAAGAAGGAGTACATGAAATTATCAGAAAAAAGTGATGGGGAGATATGGAGGGAGTTGGAGGGGAGGGAGTGGGCATGGATTTGATCAAAACACCTTATATGCATGTATGAAATTCTCAATAAATTATTTATTTAAAAATAAATAAATAAATATGCAAAATATTTTTTAAAGAGAGAGAGAGAGAGAATGACTCTAGATAGGCTGACTAGACTCCAGTGGATGAATTTGCACTGAGGGCCACCTAGATAGACATGCTTGACCAGATAGGACTTAACATATATATAATAGTATACCTGAAATCTGGTGGGGGGGGCCTTTGAGGGTAGGGAGGGCAGAGGGGAGGGGAGGAGTCTAAATTTGATTAGGATGTTATTATATGAAATGCACAAAAACTCAATAGAATACTAAAAATAAAAAAATACCCATAGCCTCCAGGTTCCCCCACATGCTGCCCTCTTCCTCACACATTCAAGGCTCAGCTTCTCTTATGCCCCTTCACACCTTACCCCTCTGCTTACCAGTGCCCTCAGGGAGGCTCAGGATGTCAGTGCCCTGTTCCCAGTAGTAACAGGGAACCTGTACTCTGCTCCTTGATTCCCAGGACCCTTCACTGAGATCCAGTTGCAGAACTAGGCATCATCCTTAAGGTAATACCACTTTTGCACTTTCACAAACAGCAGTGACCCAAGGTACTCTGACACATTCACTTTGACTTCCTCCACCTGTAGAAAAGCAGAGGAGGCCTCAGCACAGAATGGGGTACTCAGGCCGAGTTCTGTTCCACTGGGCCACAGAGAAAGTGGTGAGAAGGAAGCCAGAAAGGAAAAGGGAATTCATGCCCAGCAGGGGCCACAGTTCTGGGTTGTCACCTCACCTATGACTGAGAGGGTGGTGAATGGAGGTTGGGAAGGTGTACCCTTTCCTTCATCTTCTCCTCCCTATAAGTAGTGATGTGCCAAGGACTGGACAGAGCACTGGGAGCCCTGCCTGTGGTCCAGTGAGCAACAGGTGAGCTGGGAGACCCCATAAAGGCAGAGAACCCACAGGCGATCCACCTGGCCTGAACCAGGATTCCTGGAGGGTGATCCATCCAAGCAGAGATCTGGAGATGCCAAGGAGCATGGCCAGAGAGTGGGATCAGAAGAGTGAGGAAAGGATGTGCCAGGCACAGGCCACGGAGCTAGCAGAGGCAGAGAATACCAGCGGATTTATGAAGCCAGAGCACAAAGTGTCTTCAGGTCTGGGAAGCCAAACAGGACAAGATCAAAAGAGTAAGATTAAGCTTTGGATTTAGTCCTGGGAGGGACTGGAGCCACTGAAATATTTTAAGCAGGCAGATTGTTTAAGGGTGGTAATGTGCTGGGGGGGAGAAGTCATTCTGGATTCCGAAGGGTCTAGAGCAGAGGTGGAGAGGCCAGTTAGGAAGGTGAAGGTGGCTTACAGTCTAGGGGACATTCATTGCTGGACAGGATGGGGCAGGCATGGGGGGGAGGCTTGGAATAGAACTGCCTACACTTCCTCAATTCTTGGTCAAATGAAGGCCAAGAGAAGGAGAAGGCTGGGGAGCACCTCATTCTCACATCTTCCTTTGAAGGGTCCATGCACCAGACAGCATCTGGATCTGGAGATCTGGAAGAAAGCTGGGCAGGTGATGGAAATTGGGAGTCATAACAGAAAAATAAAAAACAAGACCTGATAGACATGCGCAGAGAGCATCACAGAATCAAGATCTGCCAGTTCTCTGGTCTTACCTTCTATCTCCCACCCTTCCTCCTTCCCATCTCAACACCCACTCAGTCCCCATGATTAAAGATCCAGCATCTATAGAGAAGATTGGAAATAGCTTTTAAAAATAGAATAGGATGGGGCTGGAGAGATGGCTCAGCCGTTAAGAGCACTGGCTGTTCTTGCAGAGGACGGGGGTTTGAATCCCAGCACCCATATGGCAGCTAACAACTGTCTGTAACTCCAGTTCCAGGGGATCCGACGCCCTCTTCTGTTCTCCTCGGGCATTGCACGACGGGGGTGCACTAATATACATGCAGGCAATACACTCATGCACATAAAATAAAAATAAGTAAAATTTTTAATTAGAACGGGACATGTGGCACTCGATAGACCGCTGAGTTACAACAGAGTTCGTGAAATGAGGGGCGCACCCGAGTATCCCTTCTTCAAGGAGGCGAGGCGGCCGCAACAGTTATAAAGTAAGTGCTTACTGAGAGCCACCAAGCACTACTGCATCTCGGTGCACTATTTCAGCGGGTGCAGGTGCCTTCCGCTTGCTCTGATAAGAAGCCAGCGGCCACTGCTCAGCTCCTCTCTGAGATTTCTCTGATTTGGAGCCAATGCCCTTCCACCCGCTCACCACCGCTCACTGTGTTCTGGCAGGGTCGTAGCACCTTCCCTAGAGATGCCTCCGCGTGCTCGCCGACCAGCCACAGGTGCACCTCGTTTTTTGGAGCCCGGATACAAGGAGGCCCGGGTGGAGATGGGGGTGCGGTAGACACCCATTTTGTTCTGGGACCTTTTCTCACCTTCTGAGAGTGAAGAGGGATGGACGCGCTAAATAAGAGAGCTGAAATCCCGCCCTCGAAGTCTGGCTTGGGGTGGAGGTATGGAGAGAGTGGCACGTCTCCTGTCAACCCTGCCTAGCCACAGGCAGGAGCGCTCAGCTGGAGCTCTGCCCAAGTCCAAAAAAAGGCGGGGCCCTGGCCGAGGCAGAGCTCCAAGCTTTATCTTGGTGGAAGAATAGAAAAGTAGATGGGGATTTGAGCATAAAACATTCAGGAAGGAATCAAGACCTGGCCCAGTTTCAGACAAGGTGAGAAGACTGGGACTGACTCCAGAGCAAGCAAGCAAGCAAGCACACACACACACACACACACACACACACACACACACACAAAGTTAGTTCACCCATGCCTGACAACAAACTGAAAGTTGCAGGGCATGATGAAGCGAGGCTCCATGATCCTCTGCAGCATTTGAAGGAGGTACCCAGTTAATTCAACCAGCTTTGCACACTTTGCCCGTCCTGGAACAGACTCTGGGCTCATTCTTTTCGTCTTAAAAGCCTCCACCTCCCGGATGTTTGCAGAATAAAACCCCAAACGTCCCGGCCCTCAAAGCCCTTGCAAACTTGACCTGGCTGCCTCCTCCCACTGCATCCCCGCGTCATCTCCTGCAGCTCGGTTCTGGGCTGGAGCCCTGTGTTCTCCAGAACCACCACCCACCCCTTCCTATACACACACACATCTGCTTGCTGGAATAACTTGCTTCTGGTTAATTCTACTCATTCTTCTAAACCCCTATCAGACTTCAATTTTCAGTGAAGTCTTCCTTGGCAATTCTGCCTACCTGTCTCACCCAGCAGCCGAGCTAAACAGCTTCCTCTTCACCACCTTCCCCTTGTAGGCACTTCTTTTGCTGCCCACTAGTTTACAGATTTGTGATAATTTGTGTCTGTATCCCTCACTAAACAAGGGCTTCTCCTAAGAAGGGACCACATTCCCAACATGATTTACTCAATTTGATTTTCCCTGGATTTAGCACAGCACCAGGGTTGACATGTCCAGGAGCATTTGCTGGAACCCCCTGAGATGAAAATTCAACTGTAAATAAATCCTCCCTTCTGGGGAGACGGGTCCACAAATAACTCTCAGGCCATATGACTAATAATGGAATAATAACATAACCTTTGGTGCTACCATGGCACGGGGTACTGTAAACCTAGTACCATCTGAACAAATGAAAGTCAGTGGAAGTATATCTGTGATGCATATTTTCAAACTTGTTTCTTGTGTGTGTGAGACAGAGATAGAGAGATAGAGACTATCTGTGACCACCAGTATACACCTTCTAAACTTTAAATCACACCTCTCTCTGCCTCTCTCCCTCCCTTTCTTTCTCTCTCTCTCTCTCTCTCTCTCTCTCTCTCTCTCTCTCTCTGCCCCAACCACCCCCAGTAATCATCATTATGGGTCACTTCTGCATGTGTGTCCTTGGACAGCATGTGACCGCATAATTTATACATTCTGTGCTCTGCACTTCATTTTTTCCATATTTTAACACAGATCAGGAAATGATTTCATATTAATGCATAAAATAGCCTATTTTTGAAGGCTGCTGTTGTTTTGCTGTAGCCTAATATTCTCTGACAGCCCCTTATGAGTAGATGTTTAAGTTATTAGCATTCTCTTGTAGCTACTTTTATGCTAATAGAAATAAATCTGGTATTTATATCAATTGTCACAGGTAAAGATGTCTGTGGTACAAAATCCTACAGATGGAATTTATATAGCAATGCATGTGCAAGTTTTGTAGAAATTAAGAAAGTCCCTGCCACAGAATTATGTACATACAATTTCAGTTCTACCATCATACTGTGTCCTTCCACACTCTTGTCAATGGTAAAGTAATAGCCATTTTCACCTTAGTTAATCCAATAGGTTAAAAAAAAATGGTAGCCTAGTATTTTCTGTGAATTGGATTCCCATTTTTCCATTGGATATTGGTCAATTTTCTTATTGATTTCTAGAACCATTTATACATTAAGAAAATTAGCCTTTTCCAGTCTTGTTGCTGCTAACAGGGACCTCTTGCCTACATCAATTCTCTAGAGTCCTTATTTTGTTCCATAATATTAATCTTCATTATAAGAAACCTGGACTCTTGGAGTGTAGCTAATTTCAAGTCTGGTAGCAGGTAAAACACAGGCTAAGCTTGAAAGGTTCTGCTGCTGTAAGTAAGTGTAAGAGTGCACTCAAGTAAGTCACAGGCAGTACTGAAAGGGCAAGACTGCTAATTGCAGAGGCGCTCACTGGTTACAATGTGGTATTTTGGATAGCAAAACCAAAATAATAAATGGGGTTATTTGAAACTGATTAATGTATGGATTTGAATCCTTTCTGCCATAACAGCAAATTGAAAAAGCTGGTTCAAGCGATTACAGTTATCTCAGGAAGCAAGACACCCACATGGTTAATTCAGTTATTTAGGTCAGTCACCAAGGGGCCACTGTTGCAGGGGGTGCAGGGTCCTTTGTTTTTTCCATCTTTTCACTCTGTCATTTTTCAAGAGTTAGTTCCTCAGTAGGTTACTTCCTCAGCTGTGTCTATAGGGGTAGTAAAACAGCTGCTGCCATTCCAGGAAGCCTGTACAAACATATCAACGTCCAGTGGGAAAAGAAGTCTCATTCCTTCCTGTGCCTCCTTATTTCAGAGTAGGAAGAGCTATCTCAGAAACCACCCAATGACTTCCTCTCAGCCTAAAATGAGGAACAGAGAGATGGGCTCTCCGAAAGAGTTTACTCAGAAATAGCAAGGGATTATAATCCAGAATACTCCACTCATATCATGGGAACCAGAGGCAAAGCCAAGGAGACGAAGAAAAAGACAAGGATTCTTTGTACAGTGTCTATATATAAGACAAAGGTTTTTGTTTTGTTTTTTAAGGATTTTTAATATGCATAACTATTTTGCTTGAATGTATGTATATGCACCACATGTGTGCCTGGTGCCTGAAGAGGCTAGAGGAGGGCATCAGAGCTCCTGGAACTGGAGTTACTGACAGTTATGAGCTGCCATGTGAGTGCTGAGAACCCAACCTGGGTCCTCTGAGCCATCTCTTCAACCCCAGGACAAAAATTTTTTGTTTGGTTTTTTGTTTGTACTGGGTTTTGGGGGGAAGGGGTGTTGGGGAGGGTGTTGAGATAGGATCTCACTTTGTAGCCCTGGCTGGCCAGAAACTGGCTATGTAGACCAGGCTGGCCTGGAACTCAAAGAGATCTGCCTGCCTTTGCCTCCTGAGTTCTGGGACTAAAGCCTATGCCACCACGCCCAGCAAGACAAAGATTTTTAAAGGCAAAATGGAGAAGGTTACACAAGTTGTTTAGGACAATTATCCCTGACTGCAATGATTAATAAGAAAAGTGGCTTTGGTCAGAGACTGAACAGACAGCTGCTGGTCAGGCATCTTTTATGAAATGATCCTCAGCAAGTATAATTCCTATTACCAATTAAAGAGGCCTGAGGCCCCTCCCTCCATGGCCTTTCAACTTCATCTTGTTAGGATTCAACAGAAAGACTTCATTTTGATTCTGTGATGTTCCTGCTATCTTTTTTGGCCAAAACTGAATGCTCACACTGAAACTATTAAGTGGAAAAGGGAAATAGAAACACCATGACTCTTAGCCTCATCAGGAACAGGAATTAGCCCTGAGTTGTATGGGCAAGGATAACACCCAAATATGTGTGAGGTTCCCCCAAATTCCTCATCACAAGCAAAAAGTTTGGGATAGTGGATTGGAAGGTAAACGCCCAAGAGTGTCTGCTATAATTAGTTTGTGAAAGGCTGAATTTATAGTAATATTCAAAAGGAAAAGTTACCATAAAGTGTTACAGAAAGGTATTATAATACAAAAGAGAGTGAATAATTAGAACTTTGGGTATCTTTAGACTTTTTAACTTTTAAAAAAGTGTTATTGTATACAAGCATGTCTGTTTCTTCTAAGTTTACACCTGTTTATAATGAATAAATACATGTTTCTTTCCACTGGTAAGTAGATAAAAACAGAGAACTGTGTGTGCCAACTAGATCTGGAAAATACTGGAACAGTTCCAAACACCAGAAGGACTGATTGGCACATGTGCTTAAACATGATAACCAGGTAGGACTCAGTTCAAAACAGTTAACCAGTGCTTTGTGGCATAGAAGAAAGGAGTCCCTGAGATTCAGAGCTAATCAAATGTTCTTAAAGGAGTGCCAGTGTGCAAACACAATTAATCCTCCTCTTTCAGAAGAGTCCAGTAGATGTCCCATTAGTTGTGAGAAGGTAATAACAATGCATGCACACGTCCTTTTTTTTTTTTTTAAGACAGGGTCTCCCAGTAGCCCCAGCTGGCCTGGAACTCACTATGTAGACCAGGCTGGCCTCAATCTCACAGGGATCCACCTGCCAATCCTGAGTGCTGGGATTAAAGGCATGCACCACCACACCTGGACTGGAGAGTTGGCTGAGTAGTTAAAAGCACTGGCTGCTCTTGTAGAGGAGCAGGGTTCAGTTCCCAGAACCCACATGGCAGCTAACAACTGTCTGAACCATCTGTAACTCCAGTTCCTCTGTGGCCATTACGTGCACATGGTACATTTACATCTGTGCAGGCACATGATGACAGAAAGATAGATGATAGATGGTAGATAGATGATTGATAGATAGATAGATAGATAGATAGATAGATAGATAGATAGATAGATAGATAGATAGAGGATGGATGGATGATGATGATAGATAGATTGATAGATAGATGACTGATAGATGATAGATGATTGATAGATAGATAGATAGACAAATGATATAGATACATAGATGATTGATAGATGATAGATAATAGATGGATGGATGATAGCTAGATGATAGATGATATATAGATGATAGATATAGATGATAGATAGATAGATAGATAGATAGATAGATAGATAGATAAAAGATAGAAAAGAAAGACAATATGGCA